CGGAGGACTCGGGCGGCCCTGGTACTGTGTCAGGTCTCCCACCCTGCAGCCGACACATGTGAAGCCTCTTCCGGTCACGGTGTTCCCAGGGAGGAGACAGACGTGTGTGTGTGTGTGTGTGTGTGCGCTTGCATATGTGTGCACGCCTGCACTGTGTGTGTGTGTGTGTGTGTGTGTGTGTGTGTGTGTGTGTGCTGCCTGAGGCACACACATCTGTCTAAGGTTGGAGATGTTGAAGTGACTCCCTCCCCTCAGAAGCTGCCAGTTTTGAGTGTGGCCAGTACTCCCCTGCCCCCCGCCTCTCCAGAGAGAAGAGCAGGCTGTTTTCCGAGGCATCTTCCATCTTCCAGGCGGGGACTTGTGGAGCTGTGACTTCTCTGTGGTGTGGTAGAGCTCGTCCTCCTTTGGAAAGGGAACAGCATGGGTACAGGGGTACAGTTAGGTTAAGGAGCCTCATGGCAAGGGCCCACATTCAGAGCAAAGCAGAAAGGACCTTACATCACTTAGAAACGTGGGCAGAATCCCTAAAGAGACGCTTCGTTGAGAGAGGCCAAGACCTCGTTAAGACGGGAAATGCCTTAATCCTCCCCTGGCTTGGCATAAAATACCAGAGACATATTGCACCAAGGGCAGGTGAGGACGTGAAGCCACGGGGTGGCGGCCGGGAGAAGCAACTTGGTGAGTGTGCACAGCTGAGGCTGTGTCTGCTTGAGGAGTGCCCCACGCAGGGGCCTGTGGTGGGTGCTGGGAGACACAGCAAAACAGTACCGCTCCGTGCACGAATGCCTGAAGTTGGAAACAGTCCCCATGTTTGTCAGCAGCAGAGTGGACAAATGAATTGTGGTGCCCAGAACCCGCAGGACTTGGGACACGGGAAAATGACGCACACCCCAGGAGCAGCACAGGAAGCCCGTTTCTCAGGAGCACGCGCTCAGTCACAGAGTGAGGAAGAGAGCCAAGAGTGAGGAAGAGAGCCAAGGCAGTGAGCAGAGGGAAAGCCAGGGGCTTGCTTACGTTGCCAGACTGGCCACCAGCCCCTGCCCAGCCCTTGTCCCAGCTTCAGGATGCCTCCCATCTGCATCCAAAGCTTTGCTGTTTGGGGAGAGCATTGTGTGGAAGCCCCAGATGTGGCCAGGCTCAGCTGGCAGCATCACAGCTATGTTCCTCTTGTGGTCCCCCAGCAAGTCAAGGTGGCTGAACAGGATGGGGCTTGGGTCTGTGAGCGATGCTCAGCAGACACAGGATGGAGGAGCCCAGACAGAATGGAGGGGGCGGGTCAGGTTCGTTCACATGCTCAGGCTTGGGAAAGCCAGGCAGGCCCAGAGCGATTCTTTAAGGGTTAGGGTTCAGATTAGGGTGTTTAGGATTACAGTGGTTAGGAGGTTAGGGATAGGGTGTTTAGGGTGAGGTTTAGGTGGGTTAGGGGTAGGGCTAGGGATAGGGTTAGTATTAAGTATTATGACATACAATTCGAGGGGAAATAACCAATTTTATGGTACTTTCTGTTAGGATTACCATTCTTGCTTTCCCTCTGTTGCATGCTGTGTATGAAAGAAGACGTGTGTAGATTTCCCGATCTCTCTGCCACAACTCACAATAGATCCAGCTTCTTACAATAAGTCTTACACCTTTAATGAAGTGAATCCACAACTAAACTCCCTTTCTGGTATCTTATTTAAGGAAACAGGGCAAGGCTTTCTTGTGGATAAACAAAAATAAGATGAGTGATTTTTGAACTATAGTAGTCAAATCTATTAGAGTATAGATTTTTGAACTATAGTAGTTTGCGAGAGGTGTCTCGCAAACTGGGGAAGAATTGAGGAGTTGGGCAGACAGATGCCTGGAAGAACTGGGGAGTTGGGGAGATGGCTGCCTGGAAGAATTGGAGAGTTGGGGAGACGGCTGCCTGGAATAACTGGGGAGTTGGGCAGACAACAACCTTGACTTTTTCAAGTAGCTCCTTTTTCTTCCCTGAGTGACTCAAGTTCTCATGTTCTGTGTGTGATGAGGTGAAGACTTTGGGAATCGCTCAGGGGCGGCAGGAGGCTCAGGAGGTGCCAAATCTTCCCAGTTGAAGGCAACACGGAATATAGATGAGCAGGTGTCTCAGGAACTAAGTCAGCGACGCAGCTTCTGGGAAGCAGCCACAGAGACTGGTGGAGACCTGGGGATGAGGACGGAGGCCTCAGTGCATAGTGGACGGTCTTGGGCCACAGAGGCCGGCGGGGGCCTGGGGATGAGGAGGGGACTTGCTGGGTAGGGGGTTGGGGGAGGCTATGGTGCACAGTGAAGGGTCTTAGGTAGCAGGGGAGGGTCTGCGCTGGAGGCACATGCCTACCTTGCTGGGGCCCACCAGAAACAGCTGACCAGGCAGCAGGGTGTCCCCGGGGCCCTCCACAGGGTCACCCAGCAGGGTAGGGTGAGGGGTATTGAATGCAGGCCAGTCCCCCCAACAGACCCACAGAAATGAGCCAGTTTGCACCCAAAGCCACTGAGAAATTGAAATAGTGATTTGAGGCCCCTCCTGCCTTTGGAGAGGACAGTTGGATGGGGTAGTTCCCAGACAGAGGTAGCCCAGTGCCGCACTCACCTATGTGTGGGGTCTGCCCCTTTCCCAGGAGCTCAGCCTGGAGCCAAGGGGGCTGGAAAGTATCAGCCAGGAAGAGGGTCTCCTGGTTCAAGCATGGACACCCCACCCTGCAGAGCTTTGCTGCAGGGGGAGGAGGGTTGGGGTGACAGCACCAGCCGCCGGGCAGGGTTCTGTGGGGTTGTGTGATCATTTCCTCATCAGATGCCAGGGTTTCCACCCAGGCATGGAGATAGGAAGCCCAGGACCATCAGAGACGTGGCCCTTCAACCAGCTCTGGCTCCAGAGGGAGTGGGAGGGAGGTCAGGGCTGCAGCTCTAAAGGTTCACATGAGATCCTGGCGCACCTGAAAATAAAACACTGACAGAAACAGCTCAGAAAACTGTTCTCTAATCCCAGAGCTTAGGAGCCCGTCTGGCGGGTCTGAGCTCCTGGCAGGAGCCATCCAGAGCCGCGTTCTCAGGAGGCCGACTCTGACCTGCTCGCAGCACGCGATGAATAATGCCAGTGACCTCGTGACTGAATTCCCAGGAGACTGGGACCACAGCGTGACGTCCCCACGTCGATGGCTGCAAGGTGGGGCTCCTCCAACCCCACCCCCACTGTCCCTGAGGCCGAGCGTATTCAGAATTCCAGCGCATTCAGGCTATGTGGCGGAAGTGTGCCACAGAACCCCGGGGCGCGGGTCAGCTCTCACAGCCACATCAGCACTTCTTCAGAAGGAGTGGGGTCCGCATGGACATGAAGCCCTCACAGCCCTTCAGGTCAGGGATCACTGCCCAGTGAATTTGCTGCCACCTTGCGGGGAACATCTTCCTGTTTTCAGAGCTTTCTGGGCTTTAGAATTGGGGGTAGGGGATTGCAGGCCTATACTTTAATCCCAGAAAATCGGGGAGAGGCGAACAGATGGTGTGGAGGAATGGGGGCTTTTCTCACGGACATATTTTAAAGTAGATGTTTTACAAAATCCCAGTGAGTGGAAGGTCCAGAGGGAGGCTGATGAGGAACAACTGCCCCTCACTACAGACCCGCCTGACTACAGACCTGCCCCACTACACACCCGCCTCACGTAGACCCGCCCCACGACGGACCCTCCCCACTACGGACCCGCCTCACTAAGACCCACCCCACTACAGACCCGCCCTACTAAGGCCCGCCCCACTACAGACCTGCCCCACTACACACCCGCCTCACGTAGACCCGCCCCACGACGGACCCTCCCCACTACGGACCCGCCTCACTAAG